CTTCAATATTTTTGTCAATGTCAATTCACCAACCAAAATGTCGTCGGTGACGTCAAACTAATAAAATTTTCGTTTTAACGTTATAAATTAACAAAATTTATTTTTATATAACAAACTAACTGAATTATTTAAATGGGGTTAGTTCTGCGATCCTAAGGCTAACAGAAATAGTTGTTTATAAAACAACAAAAGGTAGTTCTTGTGGTTCTTTGAGCTTGGATATCTGATTATGTATTATTACATTCTTCGAACGCCAACTTAGGTTAGTTGTTGAAGCAGGAGACAAACTAAACTCGACCTAAGTCGATCAATTCACCTGTAGGGCTAGGGTACAGGGCTCGTTTTGTATTTAATTATTCAACATAAGCGACTGTATCGATGCAGTCGTACGTTTGCATTGGTGCAATCGCCTATAAATCGCAAGTGTCTTCGTTACACGGACGCGCGTTTGCATTCACCTTGTGTAACTCTTCAACTTATCTCCCAAAGACCAAGCGTCCAAAGCTCTCGGGTTTGTGATGCGTAACTCCAGAGATTTCAGATATGCTAAAACACTAAAAATGTTATATTGCTCATTTGTCCGCAGCCACCTGGAATACGCATCGCATGTCTGGAGCCTCCAATACCTTACCTACATATCGCGTATTGAAAATGTGCAAAAAAACAAATTATTAAGTTTTTATGTTTTCGAACTAGGGTGCGGTACGAGTCAAACCGGTATCTTGATATATGTAAGAAACATCATCTTTTGCCACTAGAGGTACGACGTCAGATAGCAGACCTAGTATTTTTGCGAAAAATTGCTTCTGGTGCCGTGGACTCCCCGGAACTCGTGTCCAAGATTGCTTTTAGAGCCCCTACAAAGTCCTTTACGTTTAATTAATTTCCGTGCATACCTATGGTCTCTACGAATTTTCGGCGGAATGCATATCTCTTACGTGCGAGTAATAGCTTCAATTAATTGTCCAAGATTTAGATTTATGTGGTATCTTCTAAACTTTACATTTTTATGTACAATATATTGTATTACAAGAATCGTTACGAATAGTAATAAATGTTACATTTCAAAAAATTATAAATATCCAGTACAAGTTTTGTGCTGCGTAATTTTAACAGTCAATGTAGTTATGTGAAATAATGTAGGAACATTTTAAGAGGGAGCATGCCAAAAAAGTTTTGACGTTGGCTCCGCCAAAATTTGTGAACCAAATATATGCCTGAAGTTCGCGAGACATGCGACAGGAGATGCTGAATTTTGCGCATTAAAAGTACCAAATTCGTTTTAGCAGAATAACTCTAAAACTAAAGGGATTTAAAAAATCCGCAGTGACAGTTCTCGATCATGCATAAATATAATTAATTATCTAATTTTTGTCCTAATAACCTGTAGCATTTCGAGAATGAATCGAAAAAATGTGAAAACTAGAGGTCATTTCGTGATTTTTATCTATCGAGGAAACTTTATTGTTTTATGTTTCTGATTAGTGTATATGCTTGAATATATCGTGTAGTTACTAATACAATATTTTATTTTTAACTTTAAAGTGGATATACACGTCTAAAATCAAATCGAAGATTAGGAATTTTTCCTCTGCTCCCTCTTAACTAATATAATAATAATTATGTTTATGTAATTTATTCATCTCTGTAAAATAATATGTATACCTAGTAATCTATAAATTACAACATATATTACAAGACCATGTCCCTATATTCTTCAGTGGAATAATACGCATTATTACAAGCAGGTTGATATTGACCTTCTAGTACTTTGTTTTTTGGCGAGTAGGTAATTACTAAGTGTCGCGAAAATGTATATAGTATAGTTAGTAGTTATATAGTCATAATTTATGGCTCATTTACTTAATGTGTGTCTATCGGTGAAGACCTATAATTGCCTATCGTTTATTATTTCAGTTTTTACTCTGTAAGATAACCGTTGGTCTTCCAATAACTTAAAATAAAAATTAAATAGAGATCGCTGCTGTTTGACGTGCTCGTTTGTAGAAACAAATTTCAGGTCGATCGCTGAGAATGCCCAAAGATTTTCGTAATGCCTTGTCCATGATTGAATAGTTGTAGAAGCAGGGAAAATCTAACGTAGCATTACAGCTCCTTGTGGACGAGTTCGTCCGGGGAAGTACTGCTACCTTTCCTATTTCTGTCGCCAAGCAGTAATGCTTTAAGGTCGAAACACAAAACTGAAATCTATGAGCTCGCATGATGCATCGCAAAAATTAGCGAATTGCTCCGCATCGCGCATGCCTGCGATAGTAATCTTCTTTGTGTTTTTTTCCTATACTTTCTAATCACTAACAGCAGTGCAACACTCTTTTAAACTCTTTTTAACTGCCTCTGTGGTCTAACGGTTACCATGCCACGCAGAGGTCCCAGGTTCGATTCCCGGAGAAATAGTTGTATGGCCGACAATTATTTCTCTCGTGAGTTTAGATGTAATTTGTGGTTGTCTATGTGTGTGTCCATGGCACCCGCGACACAGGGTTTCCATAGTGCGGGGCTATGTTGAGTGTGTGCGTTATTTATTTATTACTCTTTTCACGATCCATGTCGCTAAATACGTAGTTTAAAAAATACGTTCAGTACGGTTGACGATGGTCGATGGAATTATCACCCGAGTCGTGGCAGTAAGACGCTTTGCCCTTACTGCGTTCCGGTTTTGAAAGGAATGGTATTGGTGAAACTATAGGTGCATGAGTCTTGTCAACTTAATTTTTTTATTTATTCGTGATCAGGTTACACATACCGACGACACGATACATTATAGGTTACACATAAACGACGCGCGTTACTTGGGCGCAGTGAGGCGTCAGACGCCGACCACACTGTGATCCGGGAGCACTAATGCGAGTGTCGTCGTCGCGCGTTGCCAGGCGTTGTGGTTGAACAACAGGACGCGACGCGACGCTTTGACTTTGCGCCAGTGTGAGTTGAGCCTTTGTATTACAATGAACTACCACACTGAAATTTACAATGATTGAAGCAACATCTCAACTCAGAGATGGCAGCTGTAAAGTTACCTCTCTGAGTGAAAAAATAAATTTCTCGCTATGTGCTTGCGTCGTATCTTTGTATTTGGTTTTTCAATGACTTTTTAGCCGTAACGCCATCTATGAGAAATCTATGAAAGTTTTCGTCATCCAGTTACAGCTACCAGTCCCGGCTAGAGATGTCACTATTCATTGTATTAAAATTTTTATTGAATTGATATTCAATTATTTTTTAATGTGAAATTATTCCACTAGTATGTTATAATTATTAATATAAAGATCGAACACTCAGAAAAAATTCCTTCGATCCGTCCGGATTCGAACCGACGTCTTCTAGCATACCGTGCCAGACGCTATTCCCAACTAAGCCACGGAACGAACCAGCGGACCTCACGAATTTTTCTATGTGCTTGTTGTCGTGTCTTTTTATTTGGTTTTTCAACGACTTTTTAGCCGTAGCGCCATCTATGAGAATTCTTAAGTATTTCGTACCCAGTTAGATACCTTTACAGCTACCAGCCCTGGCTATACGAGTATTTCTTTATGTCAGGACGTGATGGGACGAACAAGTCGTGAGGCTGGTGCTAAGCCAGGCCATAGCAGTTGCAGTGTCACTGCGCCTGTCATCCTGAGACGTTGACAAGATGTTGACAAGTCCCGTGTGCATGTAATTTGACCTGCACCTTTGTCCTTTAAAACCCGAGCCTAAATTATGGAGGAATTTTATTAAAATTGTTGATCGCTTCAGATAAATCAGTTAAGGTGATGGAAGTAAAGCAAGCGTCAAATCGTCAAGACGCAGCGACGATAACAAAAGTTAGTTGTGACTCTGAAAAATACAGAAGGTGCAGTTTGTTGAACATCATACAACATATTGATATTTGGGGGCGATATGGGTGAGTAAAATTTTTTGATTATCCATACTGATTAGTTGTGGGGGCCTACCATAACCTCATAAAAGAATATTACTTTAACCTTACATTGACATTTCGTACCATAACGCGCTTAAAGTAAGCTTATTGTAATGTTAAAACTATAATGTTTTATTGGCAGCTTTGTGACTATTCATTCACTCAGTTCGTACCATGACACGACTTTAACATTAAAGTAATATTGCTCTTTATCTTATGTCAAATTTAGCAATCTTAAAATAGTTACACGGATGCAATGGAAACAATATTATTTTCAGTTTTATTGTCTTAATATTGATTTGTAATGATTAAAAGTTAAGTTGAACTTATTTATTTACATATATCTCTTCAATATTTTTTTAATTTTTTATTTAATAGCAAATAGGAAATAATTTCTCGTAAAATAAAAATACGCGATGTTTATTTCGTAAAATTAAGACAGCGCCATCTATGTGCTCCTTGGCGAAACTAACAGTTGACACTAGACTATGGTTCCGAATTCACAACGTGACAATCAAGACTCGGCTTGTTTTATTTATTTTTCTTCATAAAAATGCGGAATAATAATTGAAAACAGCGTAATTTTAATAGATTTCATTATTACATACTTTTCTTTTTTTTTGGTAATTAATATTCTCTGAATGTAAATAATATTAAGTACTTTAACATTATACTACGATAACACGATTCGGAACATCATACAGTTCATATAGCGTTATTTCTTCCCTACTTTTAGTAAGGAATAGACAATATTGGGAAATCATTCGTTCTTTCAGTCACTTTAGCAATAATACATTACTTGGTTGATAGGTTTGTGGTACGAAAATGAGTAATATTACAATAAGCTTATTTTGTGCTTACATTGAAATAATATTGTTTTTGGAAAGGTTATGGTGATTACTGATAGAATTTTTTTCCGAAAAATTTCATGTACCTACTCATTTTTTCTATTGTAAAATTTGGTAAAATATAATTTGGAAGGCTCATATTATGTTCTGCGTTTAAAAATACCCTTTGAAGCATTTTAAGGATTCCGTATTTCTGATGAAAAATCCTAAAAATAATTATTGACAACTGTCCATACTGTCGTCATGCATGTGATGCTAACTAACCACGTCTACTCTACGTACTCATAGTTGTGCTTTTTTCGTTACGAGGGCAGTACTATGGGTAGTATATTCAAGTTAGAGAACTAGTATAGACTCCTCCCTTTCGCACTACTTCATAAAAATGACAAGGACATAAGATGGAGGCACACGGTTAAGTGGGTGTTAACAACCGTTAGAATCATAGATTTATACTAAATCTATGGTTGGAATAGTAAGGGCCCGTGCACAAAGGTGATTAAAAAATTAAACAAAAATATTCTGAGTGTTCGATCTTTGTATTAATAATTATAACAAACTAGTGGAGTAATTTCACAAAAAATAATTGAATATCAATTCAATAAAATTTTTATTAATGCAGTAAATAGTGACATCTCTCGCCAGGACTGGTAGCTGTAAAGGTACTAACTGGGTGATAAATCTTTCATAGATTTCTCATAGATGGCGCTACGACTAAAAAGTCGTTGAAAAACCAAATACAAAGACACGACGCAAGCACATAGAAAAATTCGTGAGGTCCGTTGGTTCGTCCCGTGGCTTAGTTGGTATAGCGTCTGTCGCGGTATGCAAGAAGACGTCGGTTCGAATCCGACCGGATCGAAGGAATTTTTTCTGAGTGTTCGATCTTTGTATTAATAATTATAACAAACTAGTGGAGTAATTTCACAAAAAATAATTGAATATCAATTCAATAAAAATTTAATTAATACAGTGAATAGCGACATCTCTCGCCAGGACTACTGGTAGCTGTAAAGGTACTAACTGGGTGATAAATCTTTCATAGATTTCTCATAGATGGAGCTACGACTAAAAAGTCGTTGAAAAACCAAATACAAAAGACACGACGCAAGCACAGAAAAATTCGTGAGGTCCGTTGGTTCGTTCCGTGGCTTAGTTGGTATAGCGTCTGGCACGGTATGCAAGAAGACGTCGGTTCGAATCCGACCGGATCGAAGGAATTTTTTCTGAGTGTTCGATCTTTCTATTAATAATTATAACAAACTAGTGGAGTAATTTCACAAAAAGTAATTGAATGATATTCAATAAAAATTTAATTAAAAATATTTTTTACAATTCTAAATCTATTTCTTTTTTCAACAATCCACATTTTACATCAGTCACTGTCTTAAACCGAGTCACAGAGTAAGAAGGTATTAGTCCATTAAGAAAGCGAAAGTCGCAGGTAGAGTCACAGATAAGTAGCAAACAGAGAAAACAACACACGTCCGCACCGCACAGATGTGAAAGCCGACTTATTTATTAGCTTGCCATTATAAATGCGTACGGTTAACCATTCACGTACGGTTGTGTTTTCTCAGTATTAGTTAGCGACTAACTTGAATAGACTATACCTATAGATATGTGTTACCTACATACCTACGCGGTGTGCGACGAACCACGCTGCTGTTTTTGTATGAAGTTACCATACTTCTGTCTGCAGAACAAGTTACACAGATAAGAACAGACTTCGTGTGAGCAAACCAGCTGTCACTTGTAGCTCAATATCCTGCACTTCAAGAATGTTTGACAGCTGTTCGCAAGTTAAAAATGCGTTTGAAAACAAGTTAAAAAAGTGAGTTTTCGAAAAAAATACTGTTGGATAGTAATCGTTATGAAAGTCATTAATTCTTAAGTTTTAACAGTCTATATGTATTATGAGTTTTTAAAATATTATTATTAGTAATGATAATTTTGCTTTATTGCGGACAAATAATCATATCGTGTTAGTTATATAAACTTTGCTTGCATTTTGGTAACTTTCGTGATATTGGCCCCAGAGATGAGCCCCAGAGTGGGTTAAAACCCAATCAATCATCAAAATCGTTGGCAGAAACGGCGAGATTGTGGCGGGCGGCGTTGATTAAAATATTATAAATAACACAAAAAAAATTATTAAAAATGAAGCTTTTTTTGACTTATTTGCCTTAGTTCGTCGACTCTAGCATTATTCTACATCTTGTTACCCATTAAATTTTCATGGCTTTTAAATTATTTCCAGATTATCGGTGACAACCAAGGTGTCAGGATTGTGGCCTGGCCACGACATTCTGTCCAAACGCAAAAGATCCGCCTACAAGAGCGCTAGTCCGGATTCCAAGCGATTATTGAACAAAACTAACACGGTCTTCAGTGCTATAGTGCCGCGATGATTGTGCAATAAATAAAGTTTTCGACTGAGACGTGTTATAAGGCCTATTGCAAAATTTCTAAGGCTCAATTTTACATCGCCGCGGAAGGAAATTAAAGTGTATTTTGTAATGAAATGTGCAGTCAATGCTCTAAGATACCTGACCCCTTAGCCATGGACCAACAAGTCAAGAGACTGCTGATCTCTTCACTATCGTAGCTCGTAATCCTAGCTCTGGAAAAGGTCAAAATCCCATCTTATAAAGGAACGCGAAATGACGACATCATCAACAAATGAATGACAAATTTAATTACAGTTAATAGCGACATTTCTCGCCAGGGCTGGTAGCCATAAAGGTACCTAACTGGTTGACGAAATACTTTCATAGATTTCTCATAGATGGCGTTACAGGTAAAAAGTCGTTAAAAACCAAATACAAAGATCCGACAAGTATATAGAAAAATTTGTGAGTCCGCTGGTTCGTTCCGTGGCTTTGTTGGCATAGCGTCTGCCACGGTTTGCTAGAAGACGTCGGTTCGAATCCGGCCGGACAGAAGGAAATGTTTGCTTTCTCAAATATTACTAGAATATAGTCATGAATGTAAAGTACCAAAATTTATTATTGTCCAACATCGAGTATACAGGCTGTATATTTGAAAGTGAGACATATTCATACATGTCATAGTAAATCATGTTACAACTTAACATAGACTAAAATAAAATTAGGATATGGGATAGAACAAAAAATAAATCAACAAATGTGTTTTGAAGTGTAGATAGGAATAAACCGATTCCCTTTACGCTTAATTCGAGTGTAATGGGAATGCTACCAAGCGAGCGCCGAGTGAGACAGCAACAATAACAATGATTTCACATTTACGTTTTAGGTTATGTTAATTGTTTTTTACTTGAACTATCATCGAAATGTTTTAGTAAGTAGTTATCATTTAATAAGAATTGAGGTTTTTGGCGTAGTTAAAAATGTGAAATCAAATTAATTACAATGATTGATTTTTTAGTTATTTACAGTTTATTTACACTTACGTGGTACGGAGCAAGTGTTCAAAATGTCCACCGTTTTCCACAATGCATAGTCTAGCACGGCATAGTAAATTTTGTTTTAAATTGTACAACACAAACACATTTTGTCTCACAGTATAAAATGCTGAGATAATCCTCTCACGCAACGCTTCGACACTGTTCACCTCTTTCGCGTAAACTCCGATTTGGGAACATTTCAATAGCTTGCCTCACACTATCACCACTTATTGCGTAAAGTCGCACCATCTCAGTCAATTCCACGTTAGAATAAATACCCATTTTGCGGCGATCGGGCGAGCGGAAGGACCAATAATTTACGTGTCTTCGTTAGATCAAGGTCGCGCGTGGACTGAAAAATTTCGCGTATGCGCCCGCGTCCCGTCCTCACCCCCGACCTGTGCTTTGCTTTTCGCCGCTGCGTCGGAGCAATAATAGTGATGTGCATAGATTTCGATAACTAATGTTGTGCTCAAGTAGTAGTCGATAAAAAAATAAAATAAAATATTTTTTGTAAAGTTTAAGTTCATTAGTTTATTATTTCTTTGGGTTGAGAATCAGGAATATAACGCACTCTATAAGTATGTCCCACTTTCAAATATACAGCCTGTATAACCAGAAATAGAGACGAAATGTCATTTAATTTGTTTGAAAACTATTCTGCCATAGCATTACTGTGACAACTGCGCTCCGATTGGCCAGCCCGAGTTCGAAACAATTGACGGGTGTCGTCAACTGTTTCACTTCAAATTGACCAGTTAACTTGAGCTTTGCTATAATGGACAAAAATTGCAAAATTACATATTTAATATTTAATTACCGATGAAATGTGATTCCGTTTGTTTTGTAATTAGATGATTTGCTGTTTTGCCCACACCACCGAATAGAACAGCACGGCATTGTTAGAGATATTATCTTTATTACAATAAATACAGAATATTTTTTGGAATATACGGAGACGTACACACAGGTCAGTAGTTGGCCTGTCTATATTTCAGCGCAAACGGGAGTTGGTATTTATAAGAGCTGTAAGGCTAATGTGTTACCAGGAATATATGGTCCTAATTTCGTCTCTATTTCTGGTTATATACTCGATGTTATCCAACAAGACAAGCAACAATGGGCAGCTATGAAACTTGTAAAACAAATAACGTATATGGTAAAAGAACTATTTAATTGCAACATGGTTTAACCGTCTTCCGTCACACTTAAAAATCCTTAGTCTGTTAAAAATGAATAAAACAAAATATTTGTTAGATAATAATAAATAATGGAAACAGAAATGAGTGATTTAAATAAAAACCCCAAAAAAGCCCTAACACAACAAGTCTTTCATCCAGGACTCTTTACCAGACAGAGATCCATTTCTTTCTGTGAAGTTCCATCAAACGGAACAAACTCAAGTACTGCGAACAATACGGCGACAATGTCCAAAGACGATACAACAGCCGCCCCAAGTACATCTAGAATGGAACCACCTCCATGGCAGCGAATACCGATGTCAAAAAAAACGCAAGATACGTGAACAGTCACCACCGCACTCTCACACAAAGTTGGTTAACAGGTTTACCAGCCTACCCGTGGATTCAGCAGAGACTGAGACCCAGAAGAAACCGCCAAACAAACCTCCTCCGATTGTTTTGTATGGCATAGAAGATCTAAACGAACTGACTAAACTTATAAAAACAGCAGTGAATCCAACTGATTTTAAGTTTAAAATTGTCAACAAAAATTTGCTGCGCATAATGATGAACACGTCAGAAAACTACAAAAAAGTGGTTCATCTCATTCGCCAGAAAGGCTTAATTGGTCATACATTTACTCCAAAGGACAACAAATGTTATCGTATAGTCATAAAGAACCTTCACCACACAACGCCTCATGATGCTATTATCCAAGCAATTGAGAATCATGGTAATAAGGTTAAAGGTGAAATTATTAATTGTCGCTATGGTCCAGATAAGAAACCAACTTCAACATTTTTCGTAAATCTGGAACCTTCCAGTAACAACAAGTTAGTTAAAGATATTCAATACATCTATCATCAGCGTGTTTATATCGAAGACCCTCATAAAACTAAAACAATTGTTCAATGTCAACGTTGCCAGCAGTATGGTCATTCCAAAAATAACTGCATGAGGCCTTATAGATGTGTAAAATGTGGTGAGGGACACAAAACTGCTGAGTGTCTCAAAAAAGATAGAAACTCTCCTGCCAAATGTGCTCTCTGCTCCTGCGATCATCCCGCAAACTACAAAGGCTGTCAAGTATACAAAGAAATACTTGAAAGGAAAACAAACTCCAAAAAGATTTCTACCAGAGTTTCCGATGGTAAATCTAATACGCAGTCCATAACGAGTGTCCCAGAAGTTCACAAACCAACACCACGAGGTTATCAGAATAAAACACAAGTGACATACTCAGATGTAACAGCTGGTCGTTACAGAAATCCTCTTCCAACTGATGAAGTTATTGACATGAGCGACAACACTACTTTACAACAGCTACTAATAAAACAAAATGAAAAGATAGATTTATTATTACAACAAATCAGTACCCTCGTGGGACTGTTGACTACAGTCATAACCAAACTGGCTCCATAGATGGCATCCCTAAGAGTCGCAACCTGGAACATCAACGGGTTAGCTCCTAATGTTAACGAGTTAGAGTCATTCATAAAAACAAACCAACTAGACGTAGTGCTAATATCAGAGGCCCATGTCACCATAAGGAGTAGTCCTCGCATCAAAGGCTACAACATCTACCACACCCCCCATCCTGATGGTGGAGCACACGCCGGAACTGCTTTGGTAATTCGAGAGAGCATTAAACACTCAGCCATGGAGCCGTTTTCTACCACGCATATTCAAGCGACCACGGTTACAATTGAAGGTCGTATGGGTTCCATCGCGCTTTCCTCTGTATACTGTCCGCCAAGGCACAAAATCACAGCAGAAATGTTCTCCGCCTATTTTCAGACCCTTGGTCTAAGATACATCGCGGGCGGTGATTGGAATGCCAAACACACTTTTTGGGGCTCTCGCTGTACTAGCACTCGTGGACGCGAACTAAAGCGCTGTGCCGACACCATCCATCTGAAGTCTTTATCGACTGGAGAACCAACATATTGGCCAAGTGACCCTAGAAAGCTGCCCGACCTTCTGGACTTCTTCCTGAGTCAGGGTGTGGCTCATATGAATATGAAAGTCGAATCGAGCTTGGATGGATCCTCAGATCATACACCAGTAATTCTGACAGTGAATACGAGTGTGATTACTCATGAAAAGGCAGAATCACTTGTAAACCATAGGACTGATTGGGAGGGTTTTAGAAGCTACATAAATCAAAATATAAAACTACCTATCCCCCTTAAGGACTCAGATGAGATAGATGGAGCATGTATACATGTCACGAACCTTATCCAAGTAGCGGGTTGGGCTAACACACCGGAACAGAATTCAACTCCACGCATTCCCACCCAACCATCGAATATTCGTGCAACAATCCTGGAAAAGCGCCGTCTAAGGCGAGTCTGGCATCAGTCGCGTCATCCGCTGGACAAATATAGATATAATAAGGCAAGCAAAGAGCTCAAGAGTATCATCAATGCATCAATCAACTCTGTAGTTAACACTAACTTGCATATGATGGCCTCTACTGGACACGGTGAGCACTCACTTTGGAAGGCAACTAAAGGCTTAAATAGACCCCAACAACAGTACCCTCCTATCAGAACAGAAACGGGAACATGGGCGAGAACAGATACAGAAAAGGCGGAAGTATTTGCTAAGCACCTAGCTGAAGTGTTTCAGCCGAATGACAAAGTGACCGATGAAGAGTCTGACTTGGAGACAGCTCTAGCGCAGGACCTTCAAATGTGTTTGCCTCTTAAACCTACCTCTCCAAGAGAAATTGCGCAAGGAATAAGATCATTACATCCAAAAAAGGCCCCGGGATTTGATCTTATCACTCCGAAAATATTAAAAAATCTCCCAAGGAAGTGCATTACATTTTTAACCTGTTTGTTCAATGCCATTCTCAGGACGGGTCACTTTCCATCCATATGGAAGATTTCCCAGGTAGTAATGATCCACAAACCAGGAAAACCTGAACAAGAGGCTTCCTCTTACCGGCCCATTAGTCTAACGCCTGTGCTGTCTAAGCTCTGGGAAAGGATATTACTCGCCAGACTCAAACCGCTTATGGATGACTGCTGTGTTGTGCCATGTCACCAGTTTGGATTCCGTAAGTCTCACTCAACTATTGAG